TTGTGTTCCACTAAAGAAATAAACTCATGCAAGTTTCGAACAACTTAAGGGTGAATAAATGAGGACAACATTTTTGGGTGAACTAATTACTTGAACCGAAGATAGTTGCTTTTTTATTCGTAAGGAATCAAGAAATAACAAGTGAGATGATTCATAATGAGATGCATTCAACCAAAGTCCCTTTATCTATAGTCTTTGATTTAACCAATTTAAATGAACCAAGGATGTGGTGGATATGGCAAAAATAAAAGTAAGTTTAATATCAGAAATGTTAACAATTATTTTTTTCTAGTTCGATCAGTGCACATAACAAGTTTCAATAAATAGCATTTTATAAAGTGTGAAGAACGTCTCAGTTTAAATTTGAGTTTTTAATGAGCTAAATCTTGGCTGTAACAAACTGAACAGACATTAAATTATAAATAAATAAACACCCTTATTAAAAAAAACTATAAAAATAAGCGTTATAAACGGTGATTTCTAAAGCATGAAATATGCAATGCCATAAATGACTGCTGAATCTGAATTCTGTTGAAGCGAACGATTCGCCGAAACGACTCGGACTTCCCAACACTAGCGGGTTGAAGCTGCAGCGCGCATGCGCGCTAGTCGCGCCCAATACAGTCTCAATGGGTGCACTATTTGGCAGCGTGTCCTGAATCCCGGCTGTGTAGTTGCGTGATCACACACACATATGCATACAGACACACAGACTCAAATACACACGCACTGGTTCTGATGCGCTTCCTTTACCTGGTCTCATCCGGAGGCTCCATAACCCGGGCCGAATCGACGGGATGGCTCTCCGTTCACCCGTGCATGAATCAGAACATGTCCAGGAAAAGAGGGGTCGACTTTGCAAAGACTGGTGTGTGATACGAGTCCCGGTGCACACTTTCTGTCTCTATCCGTCTGCAGAGTTGAGGCTCGCCCGTGTCTGCACTGACGCCATATTTCCAGCGAGCCGCTGATGAGGGAGTGACACACTCTACGGCAGCTCGTGCAGTACACCAGACCCGCTGCGACAGACTGGATCACGGCCGCCCCGTTCAGACGCACCCAGGAACTGCAGAGAAAACAAAGACCTGACAAAAGATGCGTTTGCCAGATTTGACGTGCGTTTTTCGGACATAGGGGCGCACGAATGCTTTCTGCACATCACTTAAAATAATGATGCAATTTCATAAAGGGCATGTTTCTTTAGTAACTGTAGCTCTTCTGTACGCATATTAGAAAAATTCTAATAATAGTAACAACTATGTTCTGTTTTCAGTTGTAATAACAATTATTATAATTCTAATATTTTATAATAAAAAGCATTTTTACGTTAACTAATTTCATATTTTTAATATTTTCATTAAACAAATTACATTTACTCATACATTTTAATGTTATATAGAAATAAAAAATATATGTATGCATAACTTAATTTCATGTTGAATAATCAAGTTAGATTTACTTAAATTATGTTTATGTAAAATGAACATTTACTTGCAACTTTGAGTAATGTACTGAAATAAATAGGAAGAAAACATTTTCTTAGTTTTGCAACTGTTAAATTTACTTAAAAAATAAAAATTACGTAAATCTTACTAGTTGTTTTTCTCAGTGTAAATGCACAAACTAGTTATAGAAATACTATTTAACTTTGATGCATATATTTTCATATGACCTACATATCTGTTAAGCATAGGCCTAATATTTGTCACTTCTCTGGATACTGTAACTGTATGTACAGTCACATCAAAAATATCTTATAAACTGTATGTTTTTAATTTTGATAGTCATTCGCCTTAAGTTTTACTGAATCTTTTAGAATATAAGGTGTTGTTAGAGGAAAACAGAGCTATATAAACCTATTAATAAAGGTAGAAAAGGACACAAGGGTGTCAAGATACACAGCTCAATAGACTGAAAGTAGGAGGGGCAGCTGTTCATACTAAAGGTATGCCTCAGAACACAGCCTAATCCTGAAGAGTACTGCATGTATTTGGAGGTCAGTTCATGACTCGAGGCTGAGAGAGCAATATACAGGGTGCAGCATGAGGTTAATGTGTTTGAAGCAACACAATACTCAAGAAACTCACTGAACCATGATAGAGACTGATCAGGAGGGTGTCACATCCAAGGCACAAGCAGACAGGCCACACTGATGTTTTTTAATGTCAAGAATAAACAAGGCATATGTGAGCTTATAAATGATGAAATATTTGCATTGCCTGGATCATAAATTAAAATATGTTTTGTCTTTTGTCACTTATGTGAATAATTCTTCAATAATTGTTACCTTAGTTAATTACATGTACTTTTCAAAGCATGCACATTCACAATAAAAATGTTTGCTTTCAAACAAGTTCAGTCCAGTTTAGCAGCAATTCCTGCTTAATTATCACACCACATCAAAGACAATTATAGCCTATGTTGCTTTGATTTGAATTGAAATTTTGAAATTATTCCTAAAAATCCGGAGGTGATTTTAAATAAAATGCTTTTAATTACTCTTACATGTATATCTGTATTTTTCTGGTTCCAATCAAAACGTGTCAGTTTTGAAAGATTCACAGTACCATTTTTTTTTCCAACAGAAACCATGTTAACAACAAGTAAAATAGATCTCAAGTCCATCAGCTGATAAAACCATTCATGTAGGCAGATACTGCTTGCACTTTCAAAATGTTACTAAAAGAAATACCCATCATTAACCACACATGAAAAACTGGGTCAAATCACTGTTTCCTTCTTGGGTTTCCATGCTCACATGGATCTGTATGTAAAAATTCTTCTTTGGGAGATTATTGCAGACTGTTAAGTCTATGAAGCAGAATGACTGACAAGAATATGTTAAGCATCTTAAGACGATGATTACAGTTTACAGGTCATTTTAGGAAAAATGATTTCAGATGGTTGAACCACAGTGAATTCCAGCAGTGCTGATTTCTAGATGTCATGACAGGCTAAATGTGTGTCTAGGAACAGAGACAGCTGTGTATTTAAATAAAAAAAGTAGTGTAAATACAACATAATATTTTTCTTTTTATAAAGTCATATATGGCCAAACACTCAGAAAATTTGAGAACTGTGTTATTATCACTTGTCGCCCTCTTCACTTATTCACAAATTAATAATTTTTGTCTTTTTGTCGGGTGTTCTATCAGGTTCTACCACTAAGTGACGCCATTTTGCTGTGCTGATATCTTACATGGTTACAAAAACGTTGCTTGAGGTAGACAATGTATGGCTACTTTATTGACAAGAAACGCTGCTGCAGTCTAGAAGTTTAATTTCACTGCAGATTCCACACTGACTGATTTCTAATCTGAATACTAGGGAGATTTATCCCAGTCAAAGTGATGGTTATGGTCCTGCAACACTCACATCCAATTTTCCCTGCTTTGTGCAAACAGATCATCTACGCATTGTACGAGCAGTAAACAAACATTTTGCAATCCACCTTCTGCCTAACATCTTACTGCTCAGAGGTTTAAATTCCCAGTATACAGAAACCTGAAATAACACACTGTCACAGAACAGCCTCTATTTTTAGCGTCTGTACTGCCTGGCAAAGAATAGGATAAAAAAAGTCATATAAAAGTCACAGAAGGCTTGCTTGATATTGGTCAGAATTTAAAGTTTTGGTATAGATTGGTTTCTCTAATAAGGCTAGACATCTTGATATCAGGAAGACTCATCAGATCAAATCACTTCTTTCCATTGCACAGGTTTTGCACTACACCAGGTTATCGCTTTTATACAAATTGCTTTTAAATAACACCCTTGCCAGAGATTTCAACATTTCTGAACTCACAATAAAGTTTTTGTTAAGAATGAGTAAAAGAGAAGCTCATTCTATCCTGAGGTTATTTTGTGGCTGTACTTTGTGCCCTTGTGCCAGTACAATTGCACTCGATCTGTGTTTGACACTTTTTGTCATTGCTTTCAAGGCATTTTCCTTTGACAAAAGTGGACATGTTTGTATGTTATTTTGTCCACCCTCCAAGCAGGAACGCTGGTGAATGAACCTTTTTCCCAGCTGGCCTATCAGAACCCAGATTCCACCACCTCACCAACTTCGCAAAGACTGTTACCTTGGAAACAGTCGTCCGCCTGTGTCTGCGTCATCTTCAAGAAACACAAGGCCATAAAGAATGAAACTGTCACTGTGTATAGAAGACAGGGCCATAATTCTGAAATATGTGGCACTTAGTTTGTGTCTATCAGTAAGCTTAGCTAGGCTATATATCTTTATTGCCACATACGGTTGAAGTCTGAATAATGAAATGAGATCCCATGTGCTATGGGAGTTATTATTATAATTATTATTATTTCATACATTAGACATGTGCTTGCAGTTTTTGATGTTTAGGAAAAAATTAAATGAAAAGAAAAGAAAACAGAGACTACAGTTTTAGTCAATCAAAAACATACATATCATCAGCGTAGTCCGATTCTCCAAAGAACGACTCTTATGAGTCTGTTCATTTAGGTGAATCAAAAACATTCGGCGCCACAGATGTAATTCGATTCTCGATTCGTGTGAGTCGGTTCATTTTAGTGAATCAAAAACATAAAGCGTCACGGAAGAAGGCTAGTCTGGTTGTGACTCTCATGATCCGGTTCTTTTTTGGTGAATCAAAAACATGCAGCGAAAATGAATAAATAATTTGTTACCACTTCCACTTTATTCGTATTTTTATGTAATAGGTACAGCTTAGGACCAGTTATTGGACAGAATTTATGCTGCCTCCAAAAAAAGAAGACATATAATCTGTGCTAAACACACATTTGGCAAAAAATTGTATTCCATTTATTATAAACTGATTCAATCACTAGCGACAGACGGTTAAAGGCAATGATTCTCCCTTAAAACAATATTTTTTTAACAAGGATTTTTACAGAGAATCAGAATTGGAACCAGAATCGATTCCCATGGCTACCACAATTACAAAGTACATATTATATCCCCTCTTCTGTCTGAGGTCACAATCATGATTGAAGTAGGAGGATGTTAAACTCGGCACAGACAGTCATTCGATGCTCTTTCCCCTCTTCTTGATGATACCTGGTGGGCGAGAGCCAGTGACGTCACGTCCCCGACCAGAGATCCATCTCCTCCGCGCTGCATTCGGAGCAGCCCGTACAATCAAGAGCATTAAAACACATCATCATCATCGGATCTAATATTAAAGCTGAAGATGCTTCAGTCCCTCACCGGTAATTCGTGCGTGCGCTTGATACAGAGCAACAAATCGGCATGGTATTTTCTGTTTCTCGTGCTCGGCTATATTCTGTATCTCATATTCGGAGCGGTGGTATTCTCCTCGGTGGAGCTGCCGTATGAAGACCTCCTGCGCCAGCAGCTCAGAGGAATCAAACGGCAGTTCCTTCAGGAACACAAATGTCTGTCCGAGGAAAGGCTGGAGCGGTTTCTGTCCAAAGCGCTGGAGGCCAGCAACTATGGGGTGTCTATTCTCAACAACGCGTCGGCAAGCTGGAACTGGGACTTCACCTCGTCTTTGTTTTTTGCAAGCACTGTCTTATCAACCACAGGTGAGTCGCTGAACAATGCGGATATGTCATAATCTGATACAGCATGACATTTAATGGCTATCGTGGCGACTCTGTGGATAGTACATCATTTGATGGGTCTGGATATTTGCAGTGACCCATATTTTTTAATGCTTCAGTAAGGCATCAATAATAACAACAAAAAATGCATCTCATTTGCCTTTAAAAAAAAAAAAGTTTAATGCACCGCTGTTAATAATAGAGAAGTTCTTCTCCTTTTGTTCTTGTTTTTCTCATTTCCTTTGTTCCTGGGAAGCTGTCTTGCCTGTCATTTAACACCTGCATTAACATAGCAATGTTACCTTAAGACAGGTATCCAATTCTCAAACAGACATAAAACAGACAACTTTATAGAAGATCTCTACAAGTCAGTTTTATTCAGTCTGTATGTTCACATACAGGAGGAAGTGCAGATATAAAGATCACTTTCAGTTTCAGTTTTATTAAAGGGGTCATTCAAATTCCCTTGATCTTTTGACATATAAGAGGTCATTGTACTATAAAAACATCCTCAAAACTATTTCGTTAGTCTAAAAACAGCTAATATTGAAGCCAATCTGCCAAAACGACAGGTTGTAGAATGTGCCACTTTATGACATAATAGTGTGGCTAAACCCCGCCTCCGCAGAAGAAGATCAACACCTACTTCTACATCACTGCCTGTTTAGCCCCGCCCACCGATTCGCACATGTAGTGTAAATAACGAGAGAGAAAAATGCAGCTCTATGCAGAAATCAAACGATAAAGATGCTCCGAAGACAACAAGACACTGTACAGTGCCAAGCTATGGAAAAACACAGTCTTTTGCATTGCCTTCCTTCTGATCCCAACCTTAGGAAAGAGTGCATGAATTTTATTTTTAATGAAGATCCAGACCGCATCAGTAAGAACTTGGCCTTTGTTCACTTAATTTTACAGCGGATTCATTTACAAACAAGGCACAATTCAATGCAGGATTTTCAGAAAGATTTAAACTAAAAGATGATGTTGTGCCGAATATATTGGATCCGACAGTAGGCCTAATATCACACCACACAAGTGTGAGTAACTGTTTTTATTACGTGATCACTATTGCTTTGTCTGTTATTACAGATCATTTGATATGTACTGAGTATTTATGCGTCTTTAACCTAAATCACAGCAGTGTTCATCTGTGAAGGCTATAGGCTGTCAAACATACACAACTGTTAGCCAATCATAGCAGTGGGATGGGCGTTTACTTCCGAGTCTACAATCCGCCACGGCTATTGAAACAGACCGTTCTGAAGAGGGGGTCAAAACAGGACAGAAAATAGCCTATTACTTCTAAATTATGATGTTTTTTTGATGTAAAAATCTTAATAACATTATGTGGACTTCAGAGAACAGTACAAAATAATAAAAAAAGGCAGTTCATGACCCCTTTAAAGTATACCAGTATTTCCCAGACATGAGAAAACTTAAAATGAAACCATGCTTTTGTCTTTCAAGATGAAACTCTCCATTCACACGCCCTAGCATGCACCACTACATCCAAACCAGTATTAAATGAAAGACAACCCAGCTTCTTTAACTCTGTAAAGCCTGACATAGGAAATAATCTAAATTTTAAAATAAAATCAAATTTTGAATGGAATAATTTAGTAAATAATTTAGTGTTTGGATGTGTGTTATATAATGAGATTGTGGAGTTCATACTCGAAGAAAAGAAACACCTACATTTTATTCAGAGGCCCAAACTGACCAAAAATATGCAATTTAAATGTTAATTTATTGGGCCAAAAAGTATTAGGAAATTCTGATAGCTTGCAATGTATCTTAAAATGATTGCTTATAATGCAGCACAATTCAATGATGATTGAGAGATAAACGTACAAATAAACGTTCCTCAAAATCCTGATGTAGCTTATTTGATACTCATATTTTAACATGATTTTTTTTTTTTATTATCTATAATCAAGTAAACCTAAGTTGCTTCAATCCAGTAAGAGATCATTTTGAAATGTAACAATAAGTTATCCTTAAGCTTATTTTATGTAAAATCATTAAAAAAATTTCACAGCAAAAAAAAAAAACGCAACCTAAAGGTGGACATTTTTACAATTATACAAAAAGGACTTTTATTTACTAAATGCGTAACTTTCAATCAGACAACAGAAGGCATGTAGCAGATTGTTAACAACAGGTTTCTTAGCAAAGTTTTGATCATGTTGGTAATTTAGAGGCCTTAGAAATGTATATATGAAAAATATGTATTTATAGGGCTTTTTAGGGTTAATTACATTTGGTGCACACTGCCCTAGCAAACACCACCAGGTTAACGCATGGATCCAACAAAGCCCAATTACCACTGTATTTTGGTGCTTGTTTGCATTTTTGGGGGAAGTGTGAGCCAGCCTATATGAGTAAAAGCGCTGTCATGATTTACCAGGGAAGAATGATTTGCAACCGTCTTATCATTACGACAGACATGCAATATCTAGTTTCCCTTTGCATTTATGGATGTTCTGCAAAATATATTTTCAAATCTTCTTTTTTATCTACAAAAGGAACTTTGAACAAGACAGGTTGATAAAAGTGGAATTAAGCCTTAGCACTGACCTTTTTTTTTGGCACAGGTTGGCTACACACCACAGGCATGATATTCCTTATTTTAGCGAAAGTGAAGGAATAGGAATACCAATAGAGAACTACTCTGGCTCTACTTTTAGACAATGAAAATAATTGTCACACATATTAACAATGTTAATATGTGTTTCACATAAATGGAACCGTTAGATTCTGCAGGTTTGTTTGTTTGTTTTTTGGTTCCTCTTACAACTACACATTTTGATTGCAGATTGTTTATTGATTGTTATAGCAATATAGACTGTTATACTTGGCACTATTAAAATGGGACAAACTACAAAAACTGCATTGTTTGGAAATCTGATTACCACAAACTGGGCATGCTAAGGTGTTCTGAATGGTTGTTAGCACTTTACAAAGTGGTTGCTAAGGTGTTCTGGATTGTTGTTAGGGTGTTTTGGGTGATAAAGGTAGTTACTAGCCCAAGTCAAAAGAGTCTAGTTTCTAGAATCTCCTGAAAAAAAGCTGGTTTTGCTGATCTTATGTGGCACATTTCCGCTGGTCAGACTGGGATACAAGTTGGCTATCCAACTAGACCAGCTGAGGTCTAGGGGCCAGTAAATTGTTTAATGACTGAAAGAAGTCTCTTATACTCACCAAGGCTGCATTTATTTGATCAAAACTATAATATAAACTGTAATATTGTGAAATATTATTACAATTTAAAATAAAGATCTATTTTAAAATGTAATTTATTCTTGTGATGACTCCAGTCTTTAGCGTCACAAGGTAATATGATGATCTGGTGCTCAAGCAACATTGCTTATTATTATCAGTGTTAGAAACAGTTGTGCTGCTTTATATTTTTTTCAGGATTCTTTGATGAATATGATGTTTAAAAGAACAGCATTTATTTGAAATAGGAATATTTTGTTACATTATAAATGTCTTTATACTGTCACTTTGTTCTATTTAATGTGTTCTTACTGAATAAAAGTACATTTCTTTACTGACCCCAAACTTTTGAATGGTAATGTAGCTTTTAAAACAAACAGAAGCATTTTGGCATGAGCTTAAAGTTATCACTAGAAAGAGTTTTTCTTTGGCCATTTCCTGTTAAAAGTGACGTGTGTCCTAGACTTTTCTTCTTGATGCAAATCCGTCTAGCAAGGTTGTGTCAGAGAGACCCTGCAAACTGAAACCTGATTTTTTATGTCCATAATGTGAGATCGTCCATTAGATGTGAGCTCTAGGGAGGCATCAAACTGCTGAGTGCAGAAATTAGAGCAAAATAATCTGTTTATTTCAGGGATGCACTAACAGAAATGAAATTACAGAGCTGGACTAAATGATTAAATCATTGGTAATCCAGGATGGGTTAATCTGTTTGTTAATCTGTGTCTGGCAGTGGCTGTGGGACAGTATGGTTTTGTTTTCAGTGAACAGAATACAATGCAGTGGTGGCGTTTCACAAAAACACAGGGTATGGCAGTGGTGTAAATCGCGGTCCGGGTTTGCGGGGGACGATCGCGTAGGGTATGGCGACGAACAACTGGGGTATGGCAGGGGAGGCCAGGGTATGACGACTGCCATACGGAAACGCCGCCCCTGATACAATGTGCTCATCCATGAATAAAATGGAGGGGAATGTTTTCATGAAGTAAATGTGTTTAATGTGTCATTTTCCACTCTTATAATTCACAGGATATGGTCACACCGCCCCTCTCTCTGATGGTGGAAAGGCTTTCTGTATCATTTACTCTGTGATTGGCATCCCCTTCACCCTCCTCTTCCTCACGGCTGTGGTGCAAAGGATCATGGTCTATAGCACATGGCGGCCCATTATGTACATTCATACACATTGGGGCCTGTCTAAACCCCTGGTGGCTGTCGTTCACGCAACCCTGCTGGCTGTCGTGGCTGTGTCCTGTTTCTTCCTCATCCCTGCCGCCATCTTCTCTGCCCTAGAAAAGAATTGGAACTTTCTGGAGTCCTTCTACTTCTGCTTTATCTCACTCTCCACTATCGGTCTTGGTGACTATGTACCCGGAGAGGCCTTTAACCAGAGGTTTCGTGAGCTTTACAAACTGGGCATCACTGGTAGGTGTGGTTTCAGTATGCTTTGTTTTGGTGTGCATTGAATCTATTTAAAATGCTGGGACTTACATATAGAGTTTTATAGGGAAGAATGTGATTTTACCAAATAGATTTTTTTTTTGAAGAAGAAGAAGAAACAGAAATTCACAGATTTGCACAGCTGATGCATTTCATTATAGCTGCAAAAATAGCACTAAGTACATTACATTATCTGGATTTTTATATTTTAATGTATCACCTAATAGTCCTTGAGAGGGCATTTGAAGTTGAAGTGTAGATTTTTTTTCCAAAATGCAAAGCAGAATTGACCTTGACAGAAAGCCTTGAACATTTACAAGTGTGTATTAAAAAAACACTCAAAAGTCTCAGAAATGCTGAATAGTAAACATGTTCTGTGGTATATTTGTCATGTAAACTGATTTAAAGGGATAGTCCACCCAAAAATTATAATTCTGTCAATTCTGTTAGAACATGAAGAAATTATTTTGAAGGATGTTGGTAACCAAACCGTTTCGGTTTCCATTGACTTGCATTATTGGTTACCAATATTCATGTTTCACCGAAGAAAGAATGACTTGAGGGTGAGTAAATGATGACAGAATTTTCATTTTTGGATAGATAATACCTTTAATAGTGTTTGGTTACTAAAATGTTGTTAACATTGTGGTCCAATATTTCTCATATCGAAGTATTTTATTAAGTAAGCATGCCTAGTCAGTTCACTTCCTATCCTCGTACGTGAAATTCTGCCCAGTATATAAAATACTCAGGTGACTTCCTTTTATGTATCGAAACATCTTCATGTGTAAGTCTCGCCTGTTGTCATAGAAACAAATGGAAGGTAAAAAGGAAGTGCATGTGATTCAAGGGTATAAACTGTTCTTTCACTGCTGCTCTACTGTTCCATCTAGTATTTGTCTTATGAAGCGGTACAGCTCTCATTTTCAAAAACTTGAAAATGCCACATGGCTTTCGTACTTGTGTGGGCTTAGTTGATGCAGATGTGCGGGGGACGGTGAGAAAGATTTGCAGTGTAAATGTGGAGGATGTGGCATACGTGAGGCCCACGCATGCTGAGTTATCTTGAAGTCTCATATTTCTTTTGCTCGGACTCTTTCTGTATTAATTTTATCATGATGTTGCTGAGATGAAAGATAAGATGCAGGCTAAAATAATCTTATTCATGATCCTTGAGGTGGCCAAGAGAGTTCACTACTTTTTTTTTTAACCATGTCATTTTTCATCTATACACTTTTCCTGTAAAGTTAAAACAGTTGCAACCTAACCTAATTTGTGCTGTATTTTGTCATGTGTATTTTCATGAAGAAATGTAGAGCTAGACGTAACTTTATCCATCAGGAATTGGATTGTGAAAATGGGTGTCATATGCCATACTGGAGCCAGGTGGTTAGAAGTGGAATAAATAAATAAAATAAAATAAAATAGAATAGAATAGAATAAAATAAAATAATAAAAAGGTCTTTTAGCAATTTCATTGCCCATTAATAAAAGAATATGAAGACATTTTTAATTCATTAGTGAATAATTTTTTATTACATTCAGATTTATGAATCATGAAATTAAGAAATTATTATTTAGATTTTATATTGACATTAAAACAAAGGCAATTTTCAGAAGCAGAGCAATTTGTTGCCTTAATAAAAGACTACAAAGGCATGTGGAAAAACCAACAACAAAACTAATATACACTGATGAATTATACACAATAAGATGACCGTACATACTAGATTTTGGAGAGAAACATCAGGAATGAAATTTTTTTAAATTAATGTAGACCTTAAAGGGGTCCTATTATGCTCTTTTACAAAGTCTTGATTTTGTTTCGGGGGTGTACTAGAACAGGGCATCATTTCATTGGTTAATAGATGTTGCAGTGTCCATTAGTAACTGGATGAAACTCCTGCATGACAGTGAAGCAAGACACATACACAGTCAGACATGTAAAGCAAACAGAGAAATGCTTGAGTTCAAACATACTGTTAAACTCAAAAGTTACCATAAACACAGTGAGAAGTTTACATTCCTTAATTTCTCCATTTCTCTCTCTCCTTCTCGTCCCACAGTGTATCTCCTCCTCGGCCTGATTGCCATGCTGGTGGTGTTGGAGACCTTCTGTGAGCTGCAGCAGTTGAAGCAGCTGAGGAAGATGTTTTATCTGAAGAAGGAGAAGCCCCAGGACCGCCTGACCATCATGGAACATGACCATCTGGCCTTTAGCTCCATGCCAGACGGTACTGTCAACTCGCCCCAGGAGGACAAAACCGAACCCTTTGTGGACTTCCCCGTCCTAACCTCTCCGGGAGGTGATGACCCCATGATCAAGTAGATGTTTTAGCCTCCATCAACATAACTCTCATTCGAGGGAGACATCTTTAGCCGAGGGGTCTTGCAAGTGACTGGTAGGATACAGAATTGTGAAAAATTACTTGAATATGTCATATTTAACAGCCCTCTACAAAACCGTCCCAGTCTGGCTTCCTGTTCCTTGACGTGATAAAATCATTCACTGGCTGAATATCTGTAAATGATTATTAGCACACTTAGGCTGCCCCATTAAATCAGCAAACTACATTAAAAAAGCATGCATAATTACACACTAAACTCTAGTATGTACTTGCCAACTGAGATTGCGGAAATGGTAGAAGTAATGCTGACAGCATTTGTGGCATAATGTTGATTACCACAGAAATGTTCACTTCTCCCTCCTTTTCTTTAAAAAAATCTGGGTTTCAGTGAGGCACTTACAGTGGACATGAATGCAGCAGACTATTTTGTTATGTGACAGAAAATATGGGGAATTATGAAATTAAAATATTAATTAAAAAAAATTGTGATAATCAACTTTTGCCACAATTGCTGCCAGTTGAGCTTTACTTTTCAGGTATGGAACATGGAATATTCTTTTATAGTCCAGATTTTCAAAAGTAGACTCTAAATCAAAAAGCACTTCTGCTCTGATCTAAGCTTCGAATAAAGACCACCATATTCTCAGATCTTCATAAACATATTGTGAGAGCTCACTTACATATAGTGGAGAACTGTCATCAAACATAGTAGTTGCACATCATGTGTTAAGTTATTTCTGGTGTGATCTACTTTGTGAGCTTGCAAACAGCTTAACTAGAGTAAGACTTAAAGGATATCTGGTACTAGTGGTGAAAGAAACTACTCTATCTCTCATGAAGCTGTATTGCTCTAATAAGACTATAATGTAGCATATACTGTAGCATAATCAGTGTAGAAACACAAAAAAAGAGTTAGCCTGCTCAAAAGCGAGTCATTACACCATTTAGATGACATTTGTAGTTAAAATAATCTAACATTTATCTGAAGGGATATTTTAAATGTTTTAAAGGGGAAAACATGGTATACTATATAATTTTCTTATTTTAGAAGGTGATTTTTTTACCTTGATCTAAATATTAAAACGCACGGCTCGACAGAGTAAGTCAAACTCAGATTACATGGATTTTTGAATTCATTTTGAATAATGGCTGGCTTCATGTGTCCTTGTCCTAAGATACTGAGATCCAGCGCAATGCCGTTACATACCAAAAAAGGTTTGGTGAAAATCTAGGATTACTGAATTGGTGTTCAGTATTATCGACTAATTGACTGTATAAAACTTAAGATCATCCAGATCTTTAACTTGTTTGCATTCAGAACATTTCTGTGGCTATTTAATAATCATAAAAGAATGAATTATATTTTTGAAACATGCTTGAAGTGTTGTTTACAATAGAATGCTTGTGTTTGTATTATGAGAATGACTGTTGTAGGCACAGACTGATGACTACTGTTTAAGGTCCTGTTGGAAGATCACACTTTACTGCTGATTGTGTTGTCACCGCAGTAGAATGTCATGACATGTTTATCACAATAGAATAAAAACTGAATGTTTTAAGGCCTCATTTTAACAGTTGTTGTGTCTGACTGTGGAGATTATTTACAGATGGTGTCGTTTTTACATGAATAAACATACTGAATATGAGCTCAGGCCATGGCAATTTGAATGTGCTGATGTGACATTTTTATTGTGTGAATAATGAAATGCTCTGTGACATCACTGCTGCATTCTTTGTGCTTATTTGCCCTTGGTGTTTTGCTGCATGAGTCTCTATGATCAGTTACAGTGTCTTAACATTGTATCAGTGCAGCACAGAATCATGTATGCATTTGTTATTGAATATTTCATTTTTTGTGTATCAGTAATATGTTTAAAAATACACAAGGGCATAATGTCATGATCTGTTTCAGTTGTGTGTGAAAGACTGTTGAATAAAATGTAATTTCCATAGATAAAAATCCTGGACTGGATCAATAGTCTTGGAAAAAATTCTCTTTTTTTTTTAACATAGGAAAATTACTACTAATCCATTTAAATATTCTAGATAACTCAGGCATGTGATCAACTAGAGACAAAAAAAGCAGGAAAATCTGACCACACCCCAGCACTTATTTAAAAAAATATATGTATTTTATCACATTAAAAGATATCTTATATTGCAATGATATATACCATTATCCTGTAAAAAATAAAAAAGCAGCATTTAATAATTAATATAATATAAAAGTATTAATATCTGTGCCACCAAAAAAGCTTCCAATGCAACTTGGAAGGAACTTCAATGACTACAAATAGTAATTTTATAGGGTAGTATATTTTAGACAGTAAAGTATTAGAGGCATTACTCATGGGTACTCACGTCAAGACAAAGGTTTGTGCTTTTTTTTTACATTTTTTTATTTATTATTATTTATTAAAATTGCTTAGAACAAATACAAATAACGAACAAACACAAATAATGAACACAAAGAGCACAAAATACACTAAAAACCATGCTTTTGCACTTTAAGCAGCAGCTCATCACACAATTCTGTGACATCTTGGACTTCTTTAACCTGAGAAGAGAAAATAGAAAGTCACATTATAGATGTTACATAATTTAAAAGCAATTCAGAACTACACTCAAAAGGAAACCACTGTAAGATTGACTTCCCCTGTGTGTGCGCGCATTTACCTTTTGTTCCAGATCCTTTTCTAGGGACTGAACCTTCAGCTGTTCTCTCTTGAGCTGCACCTGCAGTGCTGCCACTTCTGCGCCCTGTTTAGTACGAACCTCAGCTATGGCCTTATTTGCACTAAAACAACATAAGTGTCATTAGTGATGCTTCCAGACATATTTATCGATCAATATTCATTATGCAAAACTGTATTATCACATTCATAAGAGAGAACATGTTTCAGACTGTTTGATGAGCACATACTGATCTAGTTTCTCCTCAGCATGGGCCTTCAAAGCTTGATAACGCTTTTCCTCTTTCTGCAGTCTGTCCATGCAGTTCTGCGCATACTGCTTCAGGGTTTCCTCATTCTATATGAGAGAAGTGGGGAACAAATGACTATTATACACTAAAATTGTGTCTACAGGTCTTTTTGCAGAAGTCTCAAAGCATACCTTTTTGAATCCCTCAATGACTTCCTTGCATCTGTCAAGGCGTTTGACAACAGAGGAAAAGGATCTCTCCAACTCATTCAAATCTTTGGACAGTTGATCCTTTTCCTGAAGGACTCGCTCTAACTCAATTTTGGCCAAATCTTCCTTCTGTTTGTGCTCATCTGTAAACACACAGGGATGTGTCTGTATCCGGCATACTGCTTTCACAATAATGTACAGAATCTGATCAAACAACTGTCATACCTGTGATTTGAGTGATGGTGGCCTCAAATTCTGACACTATAAACCTGAGTAGAGACGAAAAGAGTTTTAAGACAGGTGTGCTGTTCAAATGTCAGTCATGCATCAGGGATCCCACACTTTTTGATTGATCCATTAAACTGGAAAAACACTTTCAATCATTCACTAGAGCAGTGTTTCCCAACCTTTTTTTAGTCGCGGCACCCTTTGGAAATTTTAACAAACTTGTGGAACCTTCAAAATTAATTTTGTCACAATATTTGAATTTCTAACTTCAATATGATACTTTGAAAAGTATCGATATTCGGTACTTTTTCATATATACATATACATATATATATGTATATGTGTGTCAGATATTTTTAATATTATTAATTGTTTTGTCCATGGAGGCAATCAGTAGGCTAATTTCTAATGAGGAGACCAATTTATATGACAGATTTTAATGTAGGCTTTTATTCATATGTAAACATTGTTTAATTACCATTATAACTTCATCAGTTATATCTCAATATCTCACAAATTGTTGCTCACTGTGTATTTTTGATTTTACAGTTGGGTAATTTTGTTGCTGCACTAGAGAACCCAATGACGGACTCATTTGAGAATCCAACAGAAAATGACACTCAAATGAACGATTTGCTTACAATTCGAGAGTAAGATCAAGCTGACTATAGGCATTTCCATCACGTTTCCAATCCTGAATGACAATTCTAGGTTTTCCATAATTTTAACCCTAATTCATTCTCCAGGTATCATATGAAAGTGTTTGTTTAATCAGAGACTCACAGCATGTGCTGATTCTCCAGTTGCAGCTTCTCAATCTGAGTCTTAAGCTCTTGTTGCCGTTCCTCTGCCTAAGAAAAGAAAACTAAAACATTAGAAAGACCAATCAGACGTGTGCCAGTCATCTTGCGTGAGGCTATGAGAGGTAACCTGTCTCTCTGCTTTCTGTAATGCAGCATCCATGTCTCTCTGACTGTACTTCAGAACCTCTATGATGGAGTCCTCAGTCTTCACTGGCTGTTTTAAAGTGGGAAGCAGCAAGTCCAGAACAGTTGGATCTGGCACCACAGTTTCCACTGCCTGGAGATTAACAGACATTGTAAAATGGACTCCAATTTGCAAAAGTCTGAATGTTTTAGTGCCTACTAATATAGTCAGAATGTTAAAGATTTTGTGTCATCATCTTACTTGCGGAGGCAGATAATCCAGCAGCTTCATACTGTCACTGTAAGACTTCTGCTTTACTTCAGACTTTGCAGCCTCCATCATCCTAATATGCACACAAAAAAAAACATTTGCATGATCATTGTAACTTGTGCACTCTGGATTTTGCTCACAATATAGATATGATCTGTTGCATTGGGCCATTTAACTCAATTTAAAGCCTATTTGTAATACTTTCAGCAAGATTTCAGAGGATGGCAGCACATTATGAAACATTGTTAATATGAATGTGTGAGGACGACTGACCTGATGGCAAGAGAAGGCCGTGGCAGGCTGAATCCAGAGTTGCTACTGTCCACTCCAGTTTTCTTTGGACTCTCCTTCAGCAGTGGGTCAAACTTCAGATACAGTGACTGCTTCCGCAAGGCAGACTCCTTAAACTATAAAAAGTGTTTTAGTATAGCACTGAACAAGTGAAATTTTGCTTAAAGGGGTGGTTCACTGGTTTTTTTCTAGGCTTGATTGTGTTTATGGGGTGCAGTCTAACATGTGTTAATGCTTAGTTTTTAAAAAACACATTATTTTTCACATAATTTACCTTTATTCCACACCGCTCTGTCCCTTCCCTGAGAAACGTGCTGATCATTTCCTTATTTTATGAAGCCCCTCCCTCGGAAATAGGCGATGGGCTCTGATTGGTTAGCTAGCCCAGTGTGTTGCGATTGGCTAAACCGCCTCTAGCGCACGTCTAAGCGTCCCGCCCCTCACCTCAGCGGCATGTACTCCGGTTGTATTGTAAACAACTGCATCGTTAATATCGCTTATCGGTTTGAGCCCGATTGAGAAGCAGAGGCACGGCTTTTAATGGTAGGCCTACGTTTTTTGTTTGTTGTCTCATACTTTTAGATACGCTGTTATTTGTAAATGCTACTGCTTATGTTAGCTTTTAATATACGGTTTCATCCTGATTAAAGCTTTAATACAGTACGGCAACTGCACGCGCATCCATGTTTAAAATAAGTGTATAATTGGAGCAGTTCATTGTTGGAGCTGAGCTGAATGAGAGAGAGAGAGATGCAGAGCGTGTGCAGATGCTTTAGAACATTGATTTTGAAACTTGTGAATCCATTAGAATCATTAGAAGACAGAATCGGGATTCATATATAAATAGATTTTTACGTGCACCTCTAGTTTTCCTGTTGCACAGATATAATACACTACGCATCAATTTATCTTCCCTTTGTGCTTTGCAGTTTTTAACACGAAGCGCTTACAATGTGCGCACACTGTAAGCGCTTCGTGCTCATAGACTGTCAACCCTCTATATTGCGAGTAAATCACTCGCATATGCCACTAAATCTTCACTCTGGGCGACTAAATTATGTTTAATATTAGCCAATGGCTAATAATACTCAGATTTTACTCGCCAGTGTGTGAGTTGGAGGCCAAGTATAAGTTAAGCACAGATATATTTTCACTCACAGAACACTGACTGAGCGCTTCCGAGTTTTCTCTGTCAAGCGATCTAGCTATTTTTCAGTTCATCTCTATGGATGCGCAGCGCACCTGTATTTCGCGTACCGTAAACTTTAGTGTGAAGGCGCACGACTCGCCGTCACTTTGCTTCTTTCTCACACGCAAAGAGAAAGACAGAGCAACAGAGTCTTACATACCATGCAGAATTGACGTGCTATATGTAAACGATATTATTTGTTGTATTTTCCTGTCAAAATAACGGAGTTCCTTTGTAATTCTTCAGCTTTTAAGAAATGCCGGGTTTTCCAGTAGTGGAAGTATAATACTTCAGTCTGGCGAGTAAACAAAAAAATTTACTAGCCAATGGCGATTCCATCGCCAAGGGGTCCGTAGAGGGTTGCTGCCAGAATTTTAAAAGACGATATCTCCGTTTGCATTTAACTTTCAGCTTCGTAACTTTGCAGATATTGTTTATGCTCAAACAGCAACATTACACACTAACTAACGTTAAAAAAAGTGAAATCGCAATAAACCACCCCTTTAATAAACTACGGAGTCTACTATATTTGGTGCAATATTCTTTAAAAAAAATAAATAATGCATTACTCGAACACTACCTGGGTTTTATGGAAAGGCTCATAAACAGAAACTCACAGTGCTTGATCCAAACTGCTCCAGATAATCAATCTGTCCATCCAAATCTCCCCCTGGCATGACTGAGAC